GGGTCAAAGGGAGAGCGGGTGAGGGGGGTCAAAGATGGGAGAGCGGGTGAGGGGGTCAAAGGGAGAGCGGGTGAGGGGGTCAAAAGGGAGAGCGGGTGAGGGGGTCAAAGGGAGAGCGGGTGGGGGGTCAAAGGGAGAGCGGGTGAGGGGGTCAAAGGGAGAGCGGGTGAGGGGGGTCAAAGGGAGAGCGGGTGAGGGGGGTCAAACGGGAGAGCGGGTGAGGGGGGTCAAAACGGGAGAGCGGGTGAGGGGGTCAAACGGAGAGCGGGTGAGGGGGGTCAAACGGGAGAGCGGGTGAGGGGGTCAAACGGAGAGCGGGTGAGGGGGTCAAACGGGAGAGCGGGTGAGGGGGGTCAAACGGGAGAGCGGGTGAGGGGGTCAAACGGGAGAGCGGGTGAGGGGGTCAAACGGGAGAGCGGGTGAGGGGGGTCAAACGGGAGAGCGGGTGAGGGGGTCAAAGGGAGAGCGGGTGAGGGGGGTCAAACGGGAGAGCGGGTGAGGGGGTCAAACGGGAGAGCGGTGAGGGGGTCAAAGGGAGAGCGGGTGAGGGGGTCAAAAGGGAGAGCGGGTGAGGGGGGTCAAAGGGAGAGCGGGTGAGGGGGTCAAAGGGAGAGCGGGTGAGGGGGGTCAAACGGGAGAGCGGGTGAGGGGGTCAAACGGGAGAGCGGGTGAGGGGGTCAAACGGGAGAGCGGGTGAGGGGGTCAAAGGGAGAGCGGGTGAGGGGGGTCAAACGGGAGAGCGGGTGAGGGGGTCAAACGGGAGAGCGGGTGAGGGGGGTCAAACGGGAGAGCGGGTGAGGGGGGTCAAACGGGAGAGCGGGTGAGGGGGTCAAAGGGAGAGCGGGTGAGGGGGGTCAAACGGGAGAGCGGGTGAGGGGGTCAAAGGGAGAGGGTGAGGGGGGTCAAAGGGAGAGCGGGTGAGGGGGTCAAACGGGAGAGCGGGTGAGGGGGTCAAAAGGGAGAGCGGGTGAGGGGGTCAAACGGGAGAGCGGGTGAGGGGGGTCAAACGGGAGAGCGGGTGAGGGGGTCAAAGGGAGAGCGGGTGAGGGGGGTCAAAGGGAGAGCGGGTGAGGGGGTCAAACGGGAGAGCGGGTGAGGGGGTCAAACGGGAGAGCGGGTGAGGGGGTCAAACGGGAGAGCGGGTGAGGGGGGTCAAACGGGAGAGCGGGTGAGGGGGTCAAACGGGAGAGCGGGTGAGGGGGGTCAAACGGGAGAGCGGGTGAGGGGGGTCAAAAGGGAGAGCGGTGAGGGGGTCAAACGGGAGAGCGGGTGGGGGGTCAAACGGGAGAGCGGGTGAGGGGGGTCAAACGGGAGAGCGGGTGAGGGGGGTCAAACGGGAGAGCGGGTGAGGGGGTCAAAACGGGAGAGCGGGTGAGGGGGGTCAAACGGGAGAGCGGGTGAGGGGGGGTCAAACGGGAGAGCGGGTGAGGGGGGTCAAACGGGAGAGCGGGTGAGGGGGGTCAAACGGGAGAGCGGGTGAGGGGGGTCAAACGGGAGAGCGGGTGAGGGGGGTCCAAACGGGAGAGCGGGTGAGGGGGGTCAAACGGGAGAGCGGGTGAGGGGGTCAAACGGGAGAGCGGGTGAGGGGGGTCAAACGGGAGAGCGGGTGAGGGGGGTCAAACGGGAGAGCGGGTGAGGGGGGTCAAACGGGAGAGCGGGTGAGGGGGGTCAAACGGGAGAGCGGGTGAGGGGGGTCAAACGGGAGAGCGGGTGAGGGGGGTCAAACGGGAGAGCGGGTGAGGGGGGTCAAACGGGAGAGCGGGTGAGGGGGGTCAAACGGGAGAGCGGGTGAGGGGGGTCAAACGGGAGAGCGGGTGAGGGGGGTCAAACGGGAGAGCGGGTGAGGGGGGTCAAAACCGGGAGAGCGGGTGAGGGGGGTCAAACGGGAAAACGGAGAGCGGGTGAGGGGGGTCAAACGGGAGAGCGGGTGAGGGGGGTCAAACGGGAGAGCGGGTGAGGGGGGTCAAACGGGAGAGCGGGTGAGGGGGGTCAAACGGGAGAGCGGGTGAGGGGGGTCAAACGGGAGAGCGGGTGAGGGGGGTCAAACGGGAGAGCGGGTGAGGGGGTCAAACGGGAGAGCGGGTGAGGGGGGTCAAACGGGAGAGCGGGTGAGGGGGGTCCGGGGGGGGTGAGGGGGTCAAACGGGAGAGCGGGTGAGGGGGGTCAAACGGGAGAGCGGTGAGGGGGGTCAAACGGGAGAGCGGGTGAGGGGGGTCAAACGGGAGAGCGGGTGAGGGGGGTCAAACGGGAAGAGCGGGTGAGGGGGGTCAAACGGGAGAGCGGGTGAGGGGGGTCAAACGGGAGAGCGGGTGAGGGGGGTCAACGGGAGAGCGGGTGAGGGGGGTCAAACGGGAGAGCGGGTGAGGGGGTCAAACGGGAGAGCGGGTGAGGGGGGTCAAACGGGAGAGCGGGTGAGGGGGGGTCAAACGGGAGAGCGGGTGAGAGGGGGGGTCAAACGGGAGAGCGGGTGAGGGGGGTCAAACGGGAGAGCGGGTGAGGGGGGTCAAACGGGAGAGCGGGTGAAGGGGGTCAAACGGGAGAGCGGGGGGGGGGGGGAGCGGGTGAGGGGGGTCAAACGGGAGAGCGGGTGAAGGGGGGTCAAACGGGAGAGCGGGTGAGGGGGGTCAAAACGGGAGAGCGGGTGAGGGGGGTCAAACGGGAGAGCGGGTGAGGGGGGTCAAACGGGAGAGCGGGTGAGGGGGGTCAAACGGGAGAGCGGGTGAGGGGGGTCCAAACGGGAGAGCGGGTGAGGGGGTCAAAGGGAGAGCGGGTGAGGGGGGTCAAACGGGAGAGCGGGTGAGGGGGGTCAAACGGGAGAGCGGGTGAGGGGGTCAAACGGGAGAGCGGGTGAGGGGGGTCAAACGGGAGAGCGGGTGAGGGGGGTCAAACGGGAGAGCGGGTGAGGGGGGTCAAACGGGAGAGCGGGTGAGGGGGGTCAAACGGAGAGCGGGTGAGGGGGGTCAAACGGGAGAGCGGGTGAGGGGGGTCAAACGGGAGAGCGGGTGAGGGGGGTCAAACGGGAGAGCGGGTGAGGGGGGTCAAACGGGAGAGCGGGTGAGGGGGGTCAAACGGGAGAGCGGGTGAGGGGGGTCAAACGGGAGAGCGGGTGAGGGGGGTCAAACGGGAGAGCGGGTGAGGGGGGTCAAAGGGAGAGCGGGTGAGGGGGGTCAAACGGGAGAGCGGGTGAGGGGGGTCAAACGGGAGAGCGGGGTGAGGGGGGTCAAACGGGAGAGCGGGTGAGGGGGGTCAAACGGGAGAGCGGGTGAGGGGGGTCAAACGGGAGAGCGGGGTGAGGGGGGGTCAAACGGGAGAGCGGGTGAGGGGGTCAAACGGGAGAGCGGGTGAGGGGGGTCAAACGGGAGAGCGGGTGAGGGGGGTCAAACGGGAGAGCGGGTGAGGGGGGTCAAACGGGAGAGCGGGTGAGGGGGTCAAACGGGAGAGCGGGTGAGGGGGGTCAAAACGGGAGAGCGGGTGAGGGGGGTCAAACGGGAGAGCGGGTGAGGGGGGTCAAACGGGAGAGCGGGTGAGGGGGGTCAAACGGGAGAGCGGGTGAGGGGGGTCAAACGGGAGAGCGGGTGAGGGGGGTCAAACGGGAGAGCGGGTTGAGGGGGGTCAAACGGGAGAGCGGGTGAGGGGGGTCAAACGGGAGAGCGGGTGAGGGGGGTCAAACGGGAGAGCGGGTGAGGGGGGTCAAACGGGAGAGCGGGTGAGGGGGGTCAAACGGGAGAGCGGGTGAGGGGGGTCAAACGGGAGAGCGGGTGAGGGGGGTCAAACGGAGAGGGGGGGGTCAAACGGGAGAGCGGGTGAGGGGGGTCAAACGGGAGAGCGGGTGAGGGGGGTCAAACGGGAGAGCGGGTGAGGGGGGTCCAAACGGGAGAGAGCGGGTGAGGGGGGGTCAAACGGGAGAGCGGGTGAGGGGGGTCAAAACGGGAGGAGAGCGGGTGAGGGGGGTCAAACGGGAGAGCGGGTGAGGGGGGTCAAACGGGAGAGCGGGTGAGGGGGTCAAACGGGAGAGAGCGGGTGAGGGGGGTCAAACGGGAGAGCGGGTGAGGGGGGTCAAACGGGAGAGCGGGTGAGGGGGGTCAAACGGGAGAGCGGGTGAGGGGGGTCAAACGGGAGAGCGGGTGAGGGGGGTCAAACGGGAGAGCGGGTGAGGGGGGTGTCAAACGGGAGAGCGGGTGAGGGGGGTCAAACGGGAGAGCGGGTGAGGGGGGTCAAACGGGAGAGCGGGTGAGGGGGGTCAAACGGGAGAGCGGGTGAGGGGGGTCAAACGGGGAGAGCGGGTGAGGGGGGTCAAACGGGAGAGCGGGTGAGGGGGGTCAAACGGGAGAGCGGGTGAGGGGGGTCAAACGGGAGAGCGGGTGAGGGGGGTCAAACGGGAGAGCGGGTGAGGGGGGTCAAACGGGAGAGCGGGTGAGGGGGGTCAAACGGGAGAGCGGGTGAGGGGGGTCAAACGGGAGAGCGGGTGAGGGGGGTCAAACGGGAGAGCGGGTGAGGGGGGTCAAACGGGAGAGCGGGTGAGGGGGGTCAAACGGGAGAGCGGGTGAGGGGGGTCAAACGGGAGAGCGGGTGAGGGGGGTCAAACGGGAGAGCGGGTGAGGGGGGTCAAACGGGAGAGCGGGTGAGGGGGGTCAAACGGGAGAGCGGGTGAGGGGGGTCAAACGGGAGAGCGGGTGAGGGGGGTCAAACGGGAGAGCGGGTGAGGGGGGTCAAACGGGAGAGCGGGTGAGGGGGGTCAAACGGGAGAGCGGGTGAGGGGGGTCAAACGGGAGAGCGGGTGAGGGGGGTCAAACGGGAGAGCGGGTGAGGGGGGTCAAACGGGAGAGCGGGTGAGGGGGGTCAAACGGGAGAGCGGGTGAGGGGGGTCAAACGGGAGAGCGGGTGAGGGGGGTCAAACGGGAGAGCGGGTGAGGGGGGTCAAACGGGAGAGCGGGTGAGGGGGGTCAAACGGGGGGGGGGGGGGTCAACGGGAGAGCGGGTGAGGGGGGTCAAACGGGAGAGCGGGTGAGGGGGGTCAAAAGGGAGAGCGGGTGAGGGGGGTCAAAAGGGAGAGCGGGTGAGGGGGGTCAAACGGGAGAGCGGGTGAGGGGGGTCAAAAGGGAGAGCGGGTGAGGGGGGTCAAACGGGAGAGCGTTCTGAGGCACTTCAAGTCAATTCGGGGGGCATGGGGTTGATGCCTCTGTAGTCGTGGACACCCAGCACCTGGGCACGAAGGGAATCGTATGTGGAGGGTGAAGAAGGAGCGCGTTATGAGGAGCATCAGGACAATCTTCAAGGAAGCACGGGGTTGATGGCTCTGTAGGCGTACACGCCTCGGACCTGTTGGGGGGGTGACAGGTTAGTTAGGGGGTAGAGAAAAGGGCATGGGGTTGAAGCCTCTGTAGTCGTACTCGCCTAGGACCTGGGCCCTAAAGGGGTTGTACAAAGCGGTTGAAAGGGGGCGTTTCAAGGCGCATCAAGATTCAAGACAGTCCAGGGGGTATGGGGTTGATGATGCTTCGGGTGTCACACATGCCTAGGTGCACGAGAAAAGTTGCTGTTAATTGGCGGTTGCATAGTGATTAGGGGGTTTCAGGCCGGTTGGGGGTTGGTCAACGGGTATGGGGTCGATGCCTTGGTCGGTAGTCACACACACCTAGGCGGACCTGCACATGAATACACTTAGAATCATTGTGAGGCAGTCAAACCCATACGCAGAACCCAAATCCACACAGAACACAATGCGGCACAACCCACGCATAAGGACGACGACTCACACAGAGCCAAAATTTGTCCCACGACGTGCTGGCGGTGGCGCCGCCATGCCAATCGCATAGAGAGAGTCAAGTCTTAACCTTATACCCTAAAACATGAAGCTTTGAATCCCAACGTAAGCCCTGGACTCACACAGAGCCAGAATTTGCCCCACGACGTGCTGGCGGTGGCGCCGCCATGGGAGAGAATCCACTCGCGGCCAGCTGTCATGGCGGGATTGGCGGGGCCCTCCCCCAGAATGCGCAGCGAGACGTAGTTGAGGGTCGAGCCAAACATGGTGCTGTGGCCCTCTATATGCAGCCCCCACCCGCCGTCAGGGTTCTAGCGGGGGAGAGGTGAAGATAGGGGAGGGGAAGGGTTAAGAAAGATGGGGGCAGCAAGAGCAATTGGCCGGGCCCTCCCGCAGGATGCGCAGGGAGACGTAGTTGAGGGTCGACCCGAACATGGTGCTGTGGCCCTCTATGTGCAGCCCCCACCCGCCGTCAGGGTTCTAGGGCAGGGATGGAAGGCAAGAAGGAGAAGGGACGCAAGGTATGGTGCATGGGGACCGGGATGTGGCCTCTCAGGGTTCGAGAGGGAGAAGAGAAGGGAGGCATTGTTGAGGATTCTCAAAAATGACTCCACTGTAGAGGGAGAAGGGACGCAAGGTATGGTGCATGGGGACCGGGATGTGGCCTCTCAGGGTTCGAGAGGGAGAAGAGAAGGGAGGCATTGTTGAGGATTCTCAAAAATGACTCCACTGTAGAGGGAGAAGGGATGCAAGGTATGGTGCATGGGGACCGGGATGTGGCCTCTCAGGGTTCTAGAGGGAGAAGAGAAGGGAGGCATTGTTGAGGATTCTCAAAAATGACTCCACTGTAGAGGGAGAAGGGACGCAAGGTATGGTGCATGGGGACCGGGATGTGGCCTCTCAGGGTTCTAGAGGGAGAAGAGAAGGGAGGCATTGTTGAGGATTCTCAAAAATGACTCCACTGTAGAGGGAGAAGGGACGCAAGGTATGGTGCATGGGGACCGGGATGTGGCCTCTCAGGGTTCGAGAGGGAGAAGAGAAGGGAGGCATTGTTGAGGATTCTCAAAAATGACTCCACTGTAGAGGGAGAAGGGACGCAAGGTATGGTGCATGGGGACCGGGATGTGGCCTCTCAGGGTTCGAGAGGGAGGAGGCAGGCATTGACAGGGAGCGCGGGGGTGAGGGATGTAGTAGGGGACCCAGGTACCTCCGTGTGCTCAGGTACCATCTCAGGTACACTAACAATGCCTGTCTTCTCAGGTACCTCCGTGTCAGTCAAGGGAAGTCAATCTGGCTCTTGTCAGTCAATCTGTCCACCATCCCCCCACTTCACGGTTCCCCTCCCTCCCCACCCCGCCCCAATCACCACCACCCACCTGGTGCTTGTACACGTGTCACACCATCTCCCCTTTGCATTCGCTGCCCGTGCTTTTTGAGGCGCCTCAAAAGTCGTCTCTTTATCCGCGGTTTTGAGGCGCCTCAAAAGGTGTCACACCATCTCCCCTTTGCATTCGCCGGCGGTGCTCCTTCGATTGTGCTCCTCAAACCTCCAATTGCACCTGCCACACTCCTCCCTCCCATCCCCACACGGCCCTTTAAACCCTGTGTCCACTCTTGTCAGAACCCACCTAGGGTTGTAGTGTTGAGGTACCACACCATCTCCCTCTTGTGCTCTCGTGGGGGCAAGCACCTGTGGAGTCTGCTCAAGTGGCAAGCACCTGTTGAATCTGCTCGAAGTTCAAACCCACCTGGTGGTTGTAGAGGTACCGCACCATCTCCCTCTTGTGCTCTGCTGACAGCACCTGGTCCAAAGCGCCCGTCACGTACAGGGTGATGAGCTGGGGGGTGTGGGGGGAGAGGGGGAGGGAGAGGCCTGATGAGCTGAGAGGTGTGGGGGGAGAGGGGGAGGGAGAGGCCTGAAGAGGTCTGAAAGACTCTTGTGCTCGGCTGACAGCACCTGGTCCAGAGTGCCCGTCACGTGCAGGGTGATGAGCTGCAAGGGAAGAAGAGAGGGCGGGGGGAGAGGCGGAACAGGGGAGGAGGTCCTTTGAGTCAACCACACGAGTGCTTGTGCGTTCAATAGACTCTTGTGCTCGGCTGACAGCACCTGGTCCAGTGTGCCCGTCACGTGTAGGGTGATCAGCTGCAGGGGGATGGGGGAGAGCAGGGGGGCGAGGGGGAGAAGGGGGGGCGAGGGGGAGAAGGGGGGGCGAGGGGGAGAAGGGGGGGCGAGGGGGAGAAGGGGGGCGAGGGGGAGAAGGGGGGGCGAGGGGGAGAAGGGGGGGCGAGGGGGAGAAGGGGGGGCGAGGGGGAGAAGGGGGGGCGAGGGGGAGAAGGGGGGGCGAGGGGGAGAAGGGGGGGCGAGGGGGAGAAGGGGGGGCGAGGGGGAGAAGGGGGGGCGAGGGGGAGAAGGGGGGGCGAGGGGGAGAAGGGGGGCGAGGGGGAGAAGGGGGGGCGAGGGGGAGAAGGGGGGGCGAGGGGGAGAAGGGGGGCGAGGGGGAGAAGGGGGGCGAGGGGGAGAAGGGGGGCGAGGGGGAGAAGGGGGGGCGAGGGGGAGAAGGGGGGGCGAGGCCTTTGAGCCAACTGTGGTAGAGACTTAGCCTGCGGCACAGTTACCATACGGCACACTTACCATACGGCACACTTACCATATGGCACACTTACCATACGGCACAGTTGACTCAACGGCCATACCAGGCATGAGGAAGGGAGGCGCGCCATAGGCCCCCTCCCAGTGTCCATCCTCTGCTGAGATCGTCTCATCTCATGGAAGCGCACAGCATGGCCCTCCTTAGAATCACATCCCTCATTACAGTCACACGACCCCCCTCACACTCACCAGTCCCGGCATGAGGAAGGGAGGCCCGCCATAGTCCCCTGCCCAGAGCCCGTCCACTGCCTGGATGGTCTTATACAAGGGCATGGCACGGCTCTCCTTAGAGTCACGTCACATGATCATATTCCTTATGGAAGGAATGCAATGCATTGAGAGAGAGAGATGCGAGGAGGCTCACCAGTCCCGGCATGAGGAAGAGTGGGCCCCCATAGTCCCCCGCCCAGTGCCCGTCCTCTGCTTGGATCGTCTCATAGAAGCGCACGGCCCTCTTTAGAGTCACATCCACTGCATTCTCATCGGGGGCTGTGGCACTTGCAACTGTCTCCTGTGCTACCCGTACAGGGGGCAGCTGATCCGCTGGGGGCTTGCCTCCTGTGAGCTGGGAGAGGGAGGGCGAAGAGGAAAGAGTGAGAGCAGGTCGAGAGGGGTGTGGGCTTAGAGTCACATCCGCAGCACTCTCATTATCGGGGGCTGTGGATTTTGCAACTGTCTCCTGCAGCAGCCGCACTGGGGGCAGCTGACCCGCTGGGGGCTTGCCTCCTGGGAGCTGGGGAACGAGCAGAAGGAGAGGAAGTCCAGTAGGGATCAAGCTTAGAGAGGGGATTGTCCGTGGAGCACTCTCATCAAGGGCTGTGGCGCTTGCATGGCAAGCAATCGCCTCCTGTGATACCTGCATCGAGGCGGCTGACTGACTGACAGGTGCCGAGCTGTGCCGTGCCGTGTGAGCTATTCGCTACACACTCCCTTTCTTTACAGTCGCACTCGTGAAAGGCTACAATCCCCTGCAGTCGCATGAGCACATCGCTGCAGTGCTTCCTCCCCTGCCTGTGCCGTGTGAACTACTCATTACAGTCACACATTACAATCACACCCATTAAAGTCACCCGTTACAGTCACACCCATTACAATCACCTGCAGCCGCATGAGCGCATCGCTGCTGTGCTTCCTCTCCTGCCTGCGCCGTGTGAACTCCTCCCTCACCCGCTCCACCTCCCGCCGCTCCTCCTCCGTCCCTGCCTCCGGGTCGAACTCCCAGGTCTGTAGGAAGAAGGAGGGGGAGGAGGAGAGAGGAGGAGGGGGAGGAGGAGGAGGAGGAGGAGGAGGAGGAGGAGGAGGAGGAGGAGGAGGAGGAGGAGGAGGAGGAGGAGGAGGAGGAGGAGGAGGAGGAGGAGGAGGAGGAGGAGGAGGAGGAGAAGGAGGAGGAGGAGGAGGAGGAGGAGGAGGAGGAAAAGTTGTCAGGAGGGCTAGCTCACCCCCCGCCTCTCCTCCTCTGTCCCTGCCTCCGGGTCGAACTCCCAGGTCTGTGGGAGGGAGGAGAGGGAAGCTGGACGGAAGAGGAGGAGGAGAGGGGTAATTGTCAGGATGACTAGTTGTCAGGAGGACTGGCTCTCTACCCCCCTCTCCTCCTCCGTGCCTCCTGCTGCTGCTGCTGCTGCTGCTGCTGCTGCTGCTGCTGCTGCTGCTGCTGCTGCTGCTGCTGCTGCTGCTGCTGCTGCTGCTGCTGCTGCTGCTGCTGCTGCTGCTGCTGCTGCTGCTGCTGCTGCTGCTGCTGCTGCTGCTGCTGCTGCTGCTGCTGCTGGGTCAAACTCCCGCCTCTCTACCCGCCTCTACCCGCTCTATAGCCCTCCGTGCCCTGCTGCAGGGTCGAACTACCAAGCGTGTGTGTCGTCATGATGTCATCAGAATACTCGTTTTGAGGCGCCTCAAAACTAGCTGCAGGGTCGAACTACCAAGCGTGTGTGTCGTCATGATTCCATCAGAATACTCACGCTCTCATGATGATCGCATTCCCATGTCGCATCCCCATGATCGCAATCCCCAATCGCATCCCCATGATCGCAATCCCCAATCGCATCCCCATGATCGCAATCCCCAATCGCATTCCCCCTATCAGTCGCATCCCACGTCGCATGTCCAAATCCATTATCCGAATCCCACCCCTACGACACCACCCAATATCGGGATCGCTATATCGGGGTCGCTATATTGGGATCGCTATATTGGATCACATTCCACAAGCATTCCTACGACAGCATCCACAAGCTGACCTTTGAGTCGACCCAAAGGTCAGCTCATTCCTACGACAGCATCCACAGCCCCATATCCCCTGATAGCATTCTCGTTAAAAGACGTCTCGATGGCCGAATACCGCTTGATGCGACGTTCGCGGAACGCTAACGACCGTTCAAGCTATTATGCGTACACCCTGATGAACGTTTCCTAGAAGGCTGTCGCACGGATCGCTTAGGTCGCTCAAGTCGCTCAGGTCGCTCAAGTCGCTCAGGTCGCTCGGGTCGCTCAGGTCGCTCAGGTCACTCAGGCTTTCTGTTATGCGTCTGGACCATCGCTCGATGCAACCACTGTCGCACATGATGCTCGACCGTCTAGCGTCGCAACTACCGTCGCACGTTTCGCCTGGTGCCTGCAGTCGCACCTGTCGCCCAGGGAAGTCGCTGAGGCTTGTCAGGAAGGGACTGCCGCCTGTCGCCACGCGAAGTCGCCACATTGCGACTGGATCACACACAGATCCACCGCAGCCGGTGAGGAAAGGCGCTGAGCAGAAGGTTTTTCACTGTCGAGGAAATGCAGGGCAGAGTAGAATCTGACAGGAGGAATAGTAACATAGGAATGACAGGGGAAGGACCTTCGCGCATGAAGCATGTTCGCTTTCGCATCACTCGTTATCAGACGACATCGTTAACGAAAACATTTATATGTTCAGAAAATCATCACACTCGCCTGATGAGTATGATATGAGGCCAATTAGAATATAAGGGAACTCGAGAAAATGAACGAATGATGGTTTGGGGGCGGCAACAAATTTAAACAGTTATATGCATGATTTTTTAAGAGAATTATTGGTATCATCAACGATGTATAGCGGTTAATTAGAACCTTATATTGTGCATCATCATAAAACGAAAATCGGTGTATTAGGACAAGTTTGGCAGTATAAAAGAACACTATTTGAATCTTTCACTGTAAAATGTACAGATGCTCACAATAAGCGTCCAATGCGCACTGTCACCACATTTGGATTATCACTAGCCCCTAGAAGCATCGCTGTTGAACGCAGTTGGTACGCGGGTACCTCAAGATTCTGAAACCAGCCGACGCGCGTACGTACGTTCCACGTGTTGATCTGCCATTGGGTCGTGGGCCTTCCATGGTCTCCTTGACGTTGACCCCGTCCCGGCAAATACAGATTCAAATTCAAGCTGACCGAGCTTTTCTCCATCCTTTCCGCCTAGGGAACTCCGTCGTCTCCTCACCAATAGGGTGCATTGGGAGCCCCGTGCTGCCCGGTTTTTGGGGGGAATTCACGAGGAACCAGCGGAAGGGCGGGAAGTTACGGCCACTAGCGGTTCGGTCGCGTAGCATCGAGGGGGTTCGGGGATTCGCTGGTGGCCGCGCCGTGACGAGCGGCGGCGAACGCGGGGAGATGGAGAGCGATGACGGAAGAACGGGGGAGATGGGAAACGTGGATGGCGGGGAAGGGGGCGTGGGGATGGAGATGCAAGGGGTGCTGTTCCGCTGGGGGGAGATGGGCGTCAAGGTGCGTACGCGATATAGTGTGTCCCCGTTACAAGGATGTGAGGGGGCGTGGGGATGGAGATGCAAGGGGTGCTGTTCCGCTGGGGGGAGATGGGCGTCAAGGTGCATCCTCGTTATAGTGTGTCCTCATACCAGGTGGCCTCACTGACGGTCATTACCTTTCTTCCTTGAATCCCCCCTCCCCCCCACCTCCCCCCCCTCTCCCCCCCCTTCACCTCCCATCTTCTTCCCCTTAGGTGGCATTCCGTTCGTCTGACTTCCCCCGCCACGTCATCATCCTAGGTGGCCTCACCGACGGCCTTCTCCCCACCGGCTACACTGCCAGGCTGGCATCCTCGCTGGCAGCGATTCATTGGTCGCTGGTGCAGACGCAGGTGTCGTCCTCCTACTTTGGCTACGGAGCAGCGTCTCTGGAGCAGGTAGGGGGGAGAGGGAGCTGGTAGGGGGGAGAGGGAGCAGGTAGGGGGGAGAGAGAGCAGGTAGGGGGGAGAGGTAGCAGGTCGGGGGGAGAGGGAGAGGGAGGGGGAGAGCGAGAGGGAGGGGGATACTGCCTCAATGCCGTCCATTGGTCGCTGGTGCAGAGCAGAGGCACAGCTGCCGTCCTCCTACTTTGGCTACGTTTTTTAGAATTCTCAATAACCTAACACACCCTTTGGCTACGGAGCAGCGTCTCGGGAGCAGGTAGGGCGGAGAGTGCCAGGGTTTCGGGGTTCAGGGCGTAGGGTTCTTAACTCTCATGGATGGATTCCGACTGCTTTATACACGTGGATTCTGGCCTCAGGATCTAGAATGACCTCCCCATGCACGAGGGGAGGGGGGGAGGGGGGGAGTGGGGAGGGGGGGAGGGGGAAGGGGCATGGATCTGTGTCATATGCCCGCCCCACCCCCGCCTTCCCCCACCCCCTCGGGGTGTTTTTCAGAATTCACAAAAGCTCCCTGCAAGCAACATCATGCCCGACCCACCCCCTCATTCCCCGAACCCCTCCCCCTCTCCCCCCCCTGCCTATGTGCATACCTACCCGCACCATGCCCCATGCCCCGTGCTCCATGGCAGGATGCTGCCGAAATAGATGACCTCATCGCTTACATCATCAAGCGGTACCAGGGCTCTGATGTCGTCCTTGTTGGCCACAGCACGGGCTGCCAGGTGAATCCAACAGAGGACAATGGCACGTCAGGTGAATTCAACAGAGGGGAAATGCATGTCAGGTGTGTACAACAGAAGATTCAGGTGAATTCAACAGAATGCACTGGTTTGTCAGGTGCACTCAACAGGGGTCTACCTGAAGGGACGAGCCCCCCCAGTCAATGTGCTCCCCTCATATCCCCCCATCTACTCCCCCCCCTCCCCTCACTCCCCTCCCCTCCCCCCTTCCCCCACTTCCCCCCCCCCCACACCACATCTCCCCCCCCCCATCAGGACATTGTGACCTACCTCAAGAGCTGCACTGCCTGTTGTTGCAGGCTCAACCGCACATTCCCCCCATTCTCCTCCCTTCCCCTCTCCCTTCCCCTCTTCCTTCCCCTCTCCCTTCCCCTCTCCCTTCCCCTCTTCCTTCCCCTCTCCCTTCCCCTCTCCCTTCCCCTCTCCCTTCCCCTCTCCCTTCCCCTCTCCCTTCCCCTCTCCCTTCCCCTCTCCCTTCCCCTCTCCCTCCCCCCCCATCAGGACATTGTGGCCTACCTCAAGAGCCCCACCGCCAGCCACCACAGCGCTGTCAAGGCAGTGCGTGCTTTCCCCATACCCCCACTCTCCCCCGTTACCCCCCCCCCCCCCCACTCTCCCCCGTTACCCCCATACCCCCACTCTCCCCCGTTACCCCCACACCCCCACTCCTCTCCCCCGTTACCCCCCCCCAAAACCCCTTCGCCACCCGCCTCACCTCCCCCATCAGGACATTGTGGCCTATCTCAGGAGCCCCACCTCCAGCCACCATAGCGCTGTCAAGGCAGCCATTCTTCAGGTGCTCTCAGGTGGTGTCAGGTAGTTTTCCAGGTGCAGCCAGGTGGTTTTTCCAGGTGCTTCCAGGTGCTTCTCCTGCCAGGTGCTTTTCCAGGTGCTATCAGGTGGTGTTGTAGGTGCAAGCCAGGGAGGATTCGACAGGCATTCAGCACCTGTACCACAGTTATTCTTCTCCCTTCGCTCCCTTCTTCTCCCCGTGCTGCAATGCAATGGCCTCTTTTTGAGACGTCTCAAAACGAAATTACTAACTCACCACAGTCTGCTCCATTCTTCTCCCTGTGCTGCAATGGCCTCTTCTTTTGTTCTCTTGAATCGACTCAAAAGCAAAGCTATCCCTTCTCTCCATGTCGCGATAACCTAACTAGGGTCGCCCTCCTCTCACCCAACTTTCTCTCCTCTGCTGGCGGGGAGAGAAAACTAGTTTTTGAGGCGCTTCACATCTAGTTTTCTCTCCCGCCAGCAGAGGAGTCTATTTTTTAGGTGCCGAAAAAATAGGCGCCTCAAACATAGACGCCTAAAAAATAGACTACTCAATTTTTTTTTAAGGTGCCTCAAAACTAGTTTTCTCTCCCCACCACCAGGCACCAACAAGCAACAGGGAGTGCGCGATGCAGCAAGCAAGGGAGGGGGGGGAGGAAGGGCCGGGAGTACGTGGGGGACAGACTAAGAGAGGGAGGGGGGGGAGGGGGGGGAGTGCACGCAGCGCCACTATCACTCATCCTTCCCTGCCTCCTCATACTGCATATCCCTCTCTCCCTCCCCCGCACCACCACCACCTCCAGGCGCCAACGAGCGACAGGGAGTAACACTCTCCTACTAATACTACATGTCCCACCAGGCGCCAACGTAGTATTAGTAGGAGAGTGTTTCCTTCCCACCAGGCGCCAACGAGTAACAGGGAGTGCATGGCGCAGCAAGCGAGGGAGGGGGGGGGGGGAGGCACCTTCATTACTGTTCCTCATGCCTCTTTCTTCTCTTTCTCGCCCACCCCCCTTCTCCCCCCCCGCACCACCACCAACTCCAAGCGCCAACGAGCGACAGAGAGTGCATGGCGCAGCAAGCGAGGGAGGGGGGGGGAAGGGAGGGGGGGAGGGAGGAAGCACTTGCAGCAGCACCATTATTACTCATCCTTCCCTGCCTACTCATACTGCATATCCCTCTCTCCCTCCCTCTCCAGGCGCCAACGAGCGACAGGGAGTGCATGGAGCAGCAAGCGAGGGAGGGGGGGAAGGAGACACAGGCAGCATTGGAAGAAATGAAATGGGCGGCACAAGCCATGATTGCGGACGGCAGAGGGGCCGAGATGATGCCGAGAAGCGCCGACCCGCTTGCGCCGATCACGGCGTACAGGTGATTTTAAGAAGACTCTCAGCTTCCAGCCATGCAGCTTCCAGCCATCCTTGGACATCTTCCAGTGAGCGCGGCGTCAGGAGACAGGTTAGCAAGTAGGAGAAACAGTAAAAAACAGCCATAGACGTTCGGGCGAGCAGCAGGGTGAGTCAACTCAAAACGAAAGATGGGAGTCGAGTCGACATACGGACTCCCACCTTCCAAGAGCTCCCACTCGCTCCCATCACCTTCCATGCGGACTCTATAATCTTTACATGTGCCAGTACACCGTACTGAGTGAGGAGGCGCCTCAAAAAGAGGTGCCAGTGCACCGTACCGAGTAGAGACATTATGACATATTCCAAGTTGTGCAGCCCCTCTTGTGTGTCGTGTGACATTGTAACGAGGTGACTATTGAGTCGATTTTTGAGTCGACTTTTGACTCAAAAATCGACTTTTGAGTTGACTCAGAAGTTACATTGGCATATTGCAAGGTGTGCATGCCCTTCTGTGCAAGCATATGAAGGTTTCACTCCCTGGCATGCATGGGGAAACGGATGGCTTATTCTCGATGCCACGCAAAGACCTATGGCACCTAAGTGGTGTTCACTGCGTGAGGAGTCTGTTTTTGAGGCGCCTCAAAAACAGATGCCACGCAAAGACCTGTGGCACCGAAATGATGTTCACTGCGTGAGGAGTCTGTTTTTGAGGCACCTCGCCTTCAAATGAGGAGTCTGTTTCTGTTCACTCGGTTTCACTCTCTGACATGCATGGAGGAACGGATGACGTATTCAAATACGTGCATCCCACCCCCATGCGTGCATCCCACCCCCATGCGTGCATCCCCCAAGTGTGCATCCCCCATGTGCAGGTTTCACTCTCTAGCATGCACGGGCGGGGATGACGACGTGTTCAGATGCGTGCATGCCCAAATATATGCATGTGTGCCCCATGCATGCCGCCCCATGCGGAACATGTTCAGGTTTCACTCTCTAGCATGTACGGGCGGGGATGACGACATGTTCACATGCGTGCATGCCCAAATATATGCATGTGTGCCCCATGCATGCCGCCCCATGCGGAACATATTCAGGTTTCACTCTCTAGCATGCACGGGTGGGGATGACGACATCTTCAGTTCAGACTTCACAGATGATGAGCTCAGAGAGAAGCTGGGGCACATGGCAGCATGGCCATGCATGGTGAGGGACTATGCATCCCATGTGCCCCAGTCTCTCCTTCCCCATGGCATAGTCCCTCACCATGCATAGTCTCTCCTCATGACACCGTGCATGATGGGGTGGTTCTGGTGGGGTGGTTCTGGTGGGGTGGCTCTGGTGGGGTGGTTCTGGTGGGGTGGCTCTGGTGGGGTGGCTCTGGTGGGGTGGCTCTGGTGGGGTGGTTCTGGTGGGGTGGCTCTGGTGGGGTGGCTCTGGTGGGGTGGCTCTGGTGGGGTGGTTCTGGTGGGGTGGCTCTGGTGGGGTGGCTCTGGTGGGGTGGCTCTGGTGGGGTGGCTCTGGTGGGGTGGTTCTGGTGGGGTGGTTCTGGTGGGGTGGTTCTGGTGGGGTGGCTCTGGTGGGGTGGCTCTGGTGGGGTGGCTCTGGTGGGGTGGTTCTGGTGGGGTGGCTCTGGTGGGGTGGTTCTGGTGGGGTGGTTCTGGTGGGTCCATGGGTGTGACATGGTGCCTAAGGAGAGGCTTGCACATGTGGGTGCACATATGGGAACGACTGTATGAGCACATGGGTGCATGGACGTGCATGTTGAGATGATATGGTGTGATGGCGTGGAAGATACATCCGTCCCATGGCATGTCACCATGCATGCCATTGTTCACGGGCGTCTCTATCCACCCATCCACCATACTATGTCCTGTCGGTCCATCCTGATGCATACACTATATGCATTCATCCTACTATTGAGTCGACTCAAAACCATGGTGCACTAGCGTCACTACCCACCCATACGCCATGCTTTGCCCTGTCGCTACATCCTGATCTCTACATCACGATATGCATTCATCCTATCCACCCATACACCATGCTATGTCTGTCGGTACATCCTGAACCATACGCTATATGCATTCATCCTATCCACACAGGTGATTCTATCAGGGGAGGATCAGTACGTGCCAAAGCACATAGACAAGGAGATGCTATTGCAAAGGTACGCTGTTGAGTAGGTAAACCTTTGCAAAGGTAACATGCCTCCGTTACTCATGACCTTGCGTGAGGAGTCTATTTTTTAGGCTCCGTCACTCATGACCTACATCAGTAGGCTTTAATTGCTTTAATCTTTTGAATCGGATCTGAGTTCAGTTTTCTGAGATCTCGGCTATTACACGGGCAACTTGTGTATTTCACTGTCAATCTTTTTGCTAAAAGTTTCGATTACACTGCTGCTCCCTTCTATCATGGCTAGCAACACTCATGACCTACATCAGTACGTGCCAAAGCACGTAGACAAGGCCATGCTATTGCAAAGGTAACTCGCCTCCATCTATGTGTGCAAGTAACTCGCTGCTCCACCTTCCCTCCCACACGTCCATTTTGTTGCTTCGGAATGAACATCCGCATCCATTTTGTTGCTTCGGAATGAACATCCACATCCATTTTGTTGCCTGGAATGAACTTCGGTGGTTTGATTCGACTCAAAAATCACCCTTCCCACACATCCATTTCGCCCCCCGGAATACACTTCTGTATTTTGAGTCGACAGTTGACTAAAAAATCACCCTTCCCACACATCCATTTCGTTGCCTGGAATGAACTTCTGCCTGGTTTCTAACAAGATACTCGTGCCAAAGCACATAGACGAGATGCTATTGCAAAGATAACTCGCCTCCATCCATGCATGCATGAATGTGTGCAAGTAACTCGCTGCTCCCCCTTCCTTCCCACACATCCGTTTCATTGCCTGGAATGAACTTCTGCTTTGTTTCTATCAGGCACGTGAGATATTTCTAGAGCATCTGCTTCGTTTTCCACAAGCTCATACCACGTTTGAGTCGAAGCCTCAGCAGTCGAAGTCACAGTAGTCGAAGTCACTGCGTTTGTTTCTAAACGGAACGTCTGCCAAAAAGTCACAGCAGATCTCCTCCCCTCCTCTCCCCCCTTGCACTCCCCTCTCCCCCTTCCTTCTCTTCCTGACCTGCCTGCCTGTGCACTGCAAAGGACTGCTTTTGAACCATTCTCCTCCCCCCCTCCCTTCCCCCCCACTCCCTCCCCCCCCCCCCCCCCCCCCCCCACCCCTCCTTTCCCCCCCCTCCCTCCCCCACCCCCCTTTCCCAACTCTTCCGGACATGTTAGACTATGCGCTGCAATGGGCGGCGCAAGCTCTGCTCTGATTGGTGGAGCTGACCACTCGCTGAGTAACAAACTGGAGGAGGCAGTTCCCACCATAACGGCCTTCATCAAAAGGTTGTGAAAGGTGTTGTAGTGCTTAGCTAGTAGGGCCTACTGTACTGTATCATCAGGAGGGACATCCGTTACTTCACTTTCATTCAAAATGCTCACTGCATGCTAAACCATTAGCAGTTATTGCACAAGAATTTATCAATAGTTGCTTTTTGAATCTTAAAATGCACAGGCATGGACTTCACTGTCTACCATAGGATTGATAGAAAATAAAATAAATCCCACTTTTCGATGTTGCATCAGCTTATCTTGTAAGCACTCAATTCTACAGCCACCTGTCAGACTCGCCTCTTGTCAGACTTGCATGGCACCGATCAATCCGAACCGCAGTGAACCACTTCGCCATACATATTCATCGCACAGTACCACGCAAGGCTGACCCGGAGTGAGCCTGACAGGAGGTGTAGAAACACCACCTAACCTAACTTGCACGCACACAGTCATTACCAGCCCAAGAGAACTACAGTACTCTAGCGAAATCCAGAAACAGAAAGAGGATTAGAAAAGTTCGTCGCCCCTGGCGTTGCTGGCCAACACCTTCTGCAACCGATCCCATATCGAGTACAGGATCCTGGCAGAAACCCCAGCCAGCTCGCCGCGTGATTGGAACCTCGTTACAAGCACAAATGACTCAGCATCTGACGGGTTGTCGCCTCCGCCGCAGAAACATCCTCCTCCTCGAGCTCAGCGCGGCATTGGCGCGCAGCTACTTCCCCAACTCCGCCCAGCGAACTCGCTTCCTCCCTCATGATTCCCCCAAGGCCGGAAATCCCCCCGCGCATGCTTGTGCTAGACGCGGATCTGCCCAGCTGCGCAAGCGAACTCGCGGAAGCGGAACTGGCAGAGCCGACGGAAGTAGGCCAGAAGGGGGAGGAGCGCGACGAGCCCGCAATCTCCGGAGTCCACATCGACGAACCAGGAACCTCCACAGCTGGGCTGCGCAAAATATCCGCCGGGGAGCCCAGCGTCCGCGCGCGCGACCAACTCGCCCCCTCACCCCCCACCGAAATCCCTAACCCTAGCGCATCCATACCATCGTCCCCATCCGAACCTGTGATACTATCGGGAAGGATATTAGCGGGAGAAAGCCCCTGGCCTATAGGACGAAGAGTCCGCGGCTGGTAAGCCATGCCCGGCTTGTACGATAAACTTGACGGCCGGTGAGACTGACCACCGGCGCCGGTAACTCCAGCCGGCAACGCGTGCTGATCCGACGGCGGCAAACCCAAGCCGGGCTGGCTGGGAATAGTCTGCGACAGAAGCTGCTGCGTGGGAAAGTTCGGCACGCTCGCGCCTACGTAGCGGCCAGCGCCAATCCCGCCGACCCCTCCCGCATCGGCGGCGCCAGCGCTGGCGGCGGGGGCGGTTCGGCGGACGTAAGCGGGCGCACCAGCGGCACCAGCGGCGGTTGGCGCGGGGTCAACCATCGGGCTGGATTGCGTCATGCGCGGAAACTGCCCCATCTGCTGCGAAAGCATCATCGCGCCGTAGTTATTCATCATCGAGTTACTCAATACCGAGTCCTCAGGTACAAGCATATGCTGCTGCTCAGCGCTCATCTCGCGAACCGTCACCTCCCGGATTCGAACCCCCGCCATTCCCGCGCCAACATGTCGCGGAACGTATAGCGGAGCGCCGGCTTGTAACGGAGCGCCCCCCTGCAGAGGACAGGCGGAAGTCCGGTTCCGCGCGTAGAGCGGAGCGGAAGCCATGCCCTTAGGCGCAGGGCAGCCGTTCGGAACGTAGAAACCGGCGAGTGCGGCGAGATCCATACCCGGCGCAAGCACAGCGGGGCTGGATTTGATCGCGTTGGCGTTGTACGCGTTAGAGAGAGCGCGCGCGATAGCGGTCTGCTCCTGCTCGTCTGTAACGTCGAGGTCTTCGATCGGAGCCGTGTAGTTGCGACCGGCATCTGAAGAGAAAAAAACACGCATCAACGGAAGCATCGAGTGAGATGATGCGAAACAAGAAACGAATGCTACTACGCACGGAAAGCAAATATCGGCATGAAAAATACACACGAAGAGATATATGTGAGAGAAAAAGACGAGAAAAACAAAGAACGCGAGATGGAAGGACGAAACGTACATCGTTTTAGGGCAGTCCACGCGGCAAGAGCAGCGTTCTTCTCGGCCTGCTTCTTCGTCCGCGAAGGTTCCCCGGTGAACTGAAGCCCGGCGACCTCGACCGTACACGTGAACACCGGCAGATGGCCCGGGCCAGATCTGACCGTGTTATACCCCGGCAGCGGCACGCCCGCTCTTTGCGCGGTCTCCTGCAGCAGGTTCTTGCAGACCCCCGATTCGTCGAGGATCTTCGCGATGCATTGCGACGGGCTGCGCTCCGACATGACGCGCAGCGCGACCTCCGCCGCCGCGTGCTCCGCCTGGCGGAGCGACGAGAAGTAGCCCGGGCTGTCGAAGGTTTCGCCGTTGAACGTGGCGGTGGCTTTGAACTTGGGCGCGTGGTCCGGGCCCTCGCGTATGCATGCATACGACGGGAGGTTGTAGCCGCTGCGCTGTGCGAGCTCCTGGAGCTGATTCTTATGCATCGTGCTGCTCGCGTGCTGATCTCGTGCTGCTCTGGTGCTCTCGTGCTGGTCTCTTGCTAATCTTATAAATAATATGTACGCAGAGAAGCGTTCTTGGAAAAATGATGCTGCTCTCGCAAATAGTGTAATCGTCTAGCAACGGAAAACCTAATGGCCCTCGCCTATTCCCCAGCACTACTAGCGAGGCAGAGGCCACTTGTGAAAACTAGGGTCTAGCAATGCTAACATACTTCCGTTACGGCCAGTTGGCAGGTCTTCTGAGCCGAGCGTCTGGTATCCTGGTTCCTGAACCCCACTAGGAACTGGTAAGAACAAATGAGTGAAGAACTAGGAGCTGTAGACTGGCGCTAGCGAGACGGCTGCCTGTTGAGGGTTATGCGACAGAACAGGACCTCCCTTACAGCCACAAAAACGCGGGTACTGCACCTGCGGAGGAGCTACCTCTAGCGTGCGGGGCACGGAGGGAAGGCCTGCTGAAATCTGTTGTGAGGGTGGTCCCTTCGGAAGGAAAAAGGCTTGGTACTGTACAGTAGTGGGGAGGAGAAAGGCTGGTTCGATGCAGGCAATGAGGGAGGAGAGTGGAACACGGGACAAGCGGAGAAGGGGAGGAAAGGGAAGGAATCCGAGTCAGGTGAAAAATGAAAGTGGAAACTGAGTCGCCCAGGTTAGGGAAATGAGCTCTCTTCATTCCACCATTTTCTTCTGGCGTTTCGCCCCGAGCACTCGGGGAGTCGGGGCTGGGAGACTCGGGGCAGGAAAATGAAGCGGAATGGCTGGTGTGGAAAAGGGAGGTGGGCGAATGAGCCACGTGGCAGCGCGCTGTAACGAACACGGAACGGATGCGCGCGCGCCTGTGGGGGGACTGCCGCGCCCACGCGGCAGTGGAGCTAGGCGGAGATCGAGGTTTGGGGGGAGTCGCGCCTAGTGGCCGACCGCGAGGCAGTGCGGTCATCGTGGTTCGGAAATCGAAACGGGAGATTTGGGGGGCGGGGGTTGACCTCCTCCAGCCGTCACTGTTTCTCGTTGGGGCTCCGTCCGGGAGAGACGGTTTGTCGGTGGAGCAGGAGGCACCGTGTTTGCGATGACGACGGTGCTTCGGTGCAGTGTTCCGTCAACCAACCGACCAGTGGACCGCCAATCCCCCGTCATTTGATCGTCCACCCCATTGGCGGAATGCACCCACTGTTCATAGGTCTGACCAGCTGGCAGGGAATACTGCCAAACTCCATGCTTCTGCCTAGGCGGAGGCATCAATCTTGAGCTTCAAGCATTTTCAAACATAGAGAAGTAACCATATTATTCATGTTGAAGTATACGAGTTAGCTACTTAAATTGGTACAGTCCTAGATTATGCTTTAAATATATTTAAAATATTATGAAAAACTTCTGAAACTAATGATATTTAAAAATTCAATTTTAATATATTTATTTCATTCTGGAAGCAGATATTCTCCTCTATGTCACTTGAATAGAAGATTTCTAAGTAAATTATTCTGAAGAGTTGAAGGTTATTGAAATGCCCTGCCACAAAGGCACCTGCCCGAGCGACTCTTGCCTCCACCCCACCCAGTAAGCACGAAGGTGCTAGGGCAGGGTCGCGGAGACCAGCCAGGGGCAGGTTTGGCTACCGTATTCCTTGGGGAAGCTGCCAGTTCGTGTCGCGTTTTGCATGTTCGCTCGTGCAGACAGCGCGCCAGCGGATACAGTAGCTTCATGAGTTGTCGGCTACGAGATGGGCAACGGAGGAAGGACGGGTCGCGCGCGCGCGTGCCCCTCACCTCGACAACCGCAGTCCAACCCGTCAAAGAGAGGCTCGTTACAACCGATGAAAGATTGACCACTGTTTACAACCAAGAATCATGCGACGTGAAGCAGCTGGGCGTAGCCGCGTAGCTATTTGGACGTAAACGGCCACAATTGATAGCATATACATACATGGAAGCATGAAATGTAGCATTCAATAACCCTGCCTAGGGTAGAGGGACAGTGAACGGTTGAGAAAACCCCTTGTGCAAAAGTCTTGGTCAAATGTTTCTACAAAATGGGTTCACTCTCAATGTTACTCCCACATATGAGAAGCAACGCATGACTCACCACCATGCCAGCCATCAAATGCTCTATATCTTTATGCTTTACTTGGTTTGGCCTCCTTATGCCCTTGGTCATTCTTCCTTCCACCACCCATCCATATCCCAATAAACAATGCCTCACTCAGTTGTCGTAGACGTACCAGCTTGGGATGGTGCATCGCCCTCCTGCGCCCGCTTGTCCTGCCACCCAAAAAAGAAAAAGAAAACGAGCTTAAAACCGCCGTACCAAGAGTTTCATCGGTAGGAAAGTTGTTTGAGGGTGTGCGTTGTGATAGGAGGACAAGGTAGGCCTGGAGGCCGAAGGAGTCAGCGACAGGAGGTTGAGCGGCAAAATTCGCAGGCCTGGAAAGTGTGTCTTGCAAACACAAACTAGAGCCTACAATTCGTCAGGTGCCCACTTGGGGCGCCGAAACTTGGGTCTGTGTTTTGGGGGGCAAGGTTACATGGGTAACATTTGTTGGGCGAAATTGTGTTTCGTCGGAATATTTCGTTCCTGCGTCAACCCAACCTAAACAGGGTAGCGGGACCAACCTTCCTATGGTTGAGCCACTTTACCTAGTTTTGGTACGGCGGTTTTAAGGGCAGAAAAACACCACAAGAAAACCCAAAACGCCACAAAACACCTTACAAAAACGAAGAACACCACAAAGCACCATAAGACAATGCGGGCACCACAAAAACCTTCTGACGCAAGGGGAAGTGTGACCCTCATGGTCGCCATTCATGTCATGCAATGCCAGTAGCTTTTTTTTTTTTTTTTTTTTTTTTTTTTTTTTTGGGCTTTAAGGAGATCCCAGGAGGAAACCAGGCAATGCCAGTAGCAGGATGCGTGTGCATGCCGTGATTTGAGTCGACTCAAAATACACCAGGACGTGAGTGCATGCTGTAACAGAACACGCTACCTTGAGCCATCCATTCGTTCATATGAACATGAGCGACAGGGCCAGGGCCAGCACAAACACGCCTTGCCATGTGCAAAGGCAAGGAACATCCTACCACTCACGCCAGCTCACCTTGTTCAGGTGCCAGCTCACCTTGCTCCAGTGCCAGCTAAGCGCGCTGCCGGCGTTCAGTATAGCAGATGCGCCAAGAACGAAGGTGGCGAGCCCCAGTGACCCCACCACCACCCGATGCACTGTATCTAGACCCTTCGACATGCCTGCCTGCGCCTTGTCTGCCTGTCTCCTTGTCTGTTTGCCCGCCTGCTCCCGACTGCTCCCTTGTGTGCGGCCCGGTCTGCTTCCGTTCCTGATGGCCTCCCTAGCTGTCCCTAGCCGACCTTAGCTGCCGCTTCTGCTGTAACTCAGCTGCAATCACTGTGCGCAACGAAACTCGGCTTGCTCACGACTGCTGCACCTGCCACAACCACTCCAAACCGTTACAGGTGCCTGGCTTGCCATTGGAGAGGAAGAAAGGAGGGGAGGAAAGAGGGAGAGGAGGGTGGGAATGTCCCGGGTACGGGAGCGGAGCAGGGATGAAGATACTACAAGGAGAAGGTGAGAAAGGATGGCTTTAAGGTAAGGGAGGGGACACAGATGCTTGCCTCGCCAATGGAGAGGAGGACAGGCGGAGAGGGAAGAGCGAGAGGAGGGTGGGGATGCGCCGGGTACGGGAGGGGAGGAGGGATGGTAACTTCCAAGGGAAAAAGGGGAGGGGGGGAAGGGGAGGAGGGGGGAGTTGAGAGGCTAAACAGCAGGTTAGAAGGAGAGGAAGGATGGCTTTAGGGTAAGGGAACGGGCATAGAGAGTCTAGTTTTGAGGCGCCTCAAAACGGGCATAGAGAGGAAGTGAGGGGACGGCAGATGCGCCCAAGAGGAGGGGGGGGGGGGGCGGGGGGAGGGGGTAATTAACGGGGGTAGGGTGAAAATCGATGGACGAGGCCTGCGGCCCCGATATAAGGATCTCTTACGCGCCCAAAAAAAAATCGGTGCCGACGGAAGGAACATTGAGGCGACTTAGAAATTGGCTGCAATGGGACGACGATGATGGACGACGGACGACGGACGAGGGGAGACGAGTTGCGACAGGAAAGGATTAGGGAACAACGCGATGAGATACACACGCACCGAGGACGGACGATGGGACGATGATGATGCACGACGGACGAGGGGAGACGACGGGAGTAGGACGAGAGGAAAGGGCACGGAACGATACGGCGACGACGGGCGATGGCGGGCGACAAGTGGCGACGACGGGCGACAATAGCGACGAGAGGCGACAAGAACGACGCGACGGACGAAGTAACTTACAACGGTCCTGGGAATAAGGAAGGCGTAGGTGGAAAGGCCGGTTTGCGGCTTGCGGCGACGACGAATCGGCCGGACGATGGAAGAGGGGCGATGAGTTGCGACAGGGAAGGACTACGGAACGCCGCGATGCGGAATATAGAACAGGCTAGGAGATCGCTTGCTGCGACGAGATCGCGTGCTGGGACAATGGGAACACGCCCGGGCGATGGATGAGGAGCGAGAACGCGCGGATGTGGGTGTTGAGGGACGGGGTCAACGAGATGGTTGGGTAATAGTGCAGATTCTCCTCCTCTCGGGCTGTTCGCGGACTATGGGACAAGCTGGCGGGGTCGATAGTAACTAAGGGACGGGAAGATCGTTTCAACAGTCATGTAAGTAATTTCGCGAGCTCGCACCCAATAAGAGACAGTTTTTTAATGACGAATTCGCAGCGTAGAATCGGTAACCTGTCTGAAAATGGTTCAGAGCGGCAATCTGATACACAGAAGCCACACCCTAAAGGTGTAGGGCGAGTTAAAGCCGTTGACCCAAATTGCAGAAATTTTGTTTCAAGTTTATTAATCTTGAAACTGCCCTTCTGGTAACCCAGTTTCGCAAAACGAGAGGGAAAACTCAGATCGCGCACCAAAAAGACGGGAAACATGTGATAGACGTGCGCCACCCCCAGCCAATTCCGCCCCTGCCCCCGATACACCAGGCGTTTGAGCGGAAAGAAACTTGAAACATGCGCTCATACATTTTGGGACTTCAGAAGTGCAACCCAGCCCAGCGCCACCACGCCTAAGGGCGTGGTACTTCTGCAAAAACTGGGTCAAGTTGCGCAGCGCAGGAATCACAGTTTGCGAAGTGCCTGAAACGATAGCGAATTGTTTGTTACTGTTGGGCTGAGAAAAGCCCTTAGGATCTTTCCAGAGACTAAGTCCCAGTTGAGGATTGAGACTTGAGTAGTGCAGCGGAAGTTGAGTAGTTGAACCCTTGTACTAGTATATGAGAACAAGTGATTGATTAAAGAAACAAGCATACATCAATATATAGAAAATAAGAAAGCAGTTGTAGAATACAGTTGCAGGAGCAGTTATCGAGTCGCACAGCGACTCGATTGTCGCTTCGGTTACCATCCGCGCTGTTGTAACGGTCAGTCGCAACCTCCAGTTGCGACCCTTCGAGTCCCTTCGCGTTCTTTGTCCGTCCCCTCGTGTAACCTCCGTTGACTCGCGTACCCGTTGCGATCTTCCTCGAGTGTAGTGTTACACTTCAGAAACGCTCAAGTCCTTTGAGATATTTCCAACACTCCCCTTCGTTTCTGGAGTGCTGGCGTGTTCAAATCCGGTGACGTTTGTCTGCCCGGTCAGCAGCGTGCAGTAATCGAATTT